ACAGACATATTCAGTTTGACAGACATATTCTGAGTAATATGCAGACACACACCCAAAATACATATATACTTGAACTTACTTGAACAGGAGCATCATCATCCACCATGGAGTCATCCTACAATGCAGGAAAATATGTTATTGCCATCATGTTAAAACAGCATTTGCAAAGGCTATGGTCACAATATGTCAACTATAACCAAAAAAATTTAAAATGAAGTGATCTTCAGGAACAGAAAAGATGTACAGGAAATCACAACCACAATCTATTAGGGAAAGAAGTTATATTTAAATGACTGTTGCAAACCTCTATTACTGTCATTTGCAAATATAATGGCTCCGTGAGGGCTAATGACTATGTGCAACGTCAAATCATCTGACCACATGTTGATATGGGAGTAAAACAGTAGTGTGGAAGATTGTTGTTTACATACAGTCAGTCACAGACTAAGTGATTATTTATAGCTCCACGCATAAACAGGGGACGTAGCATGCAACGTAGGATGGCTATTTCCAGACCACAGGATTAGCCTGGACCAAAGGAAGTTAATTAGGGAAAGAGTAGGACAGGACGGAGTGCTAACAGTATAAGAGAGACAATAACAGTTACTATTTAGCAACTTGGACGAAATATTTATCCTAAAGGCAACAACACATATAATCGTCTCCTGGAGTAAGCAGGGGGTTGGTGCCATACTGAAAGTTATTAAATGATCATTATAATATATACTCTAAATAATTTATGGATCGGTTTGAAAACCATTAGATCATTTGATTGTGATTGATTCTGACACTTACTACACAAACTGTATCTTTTTGCATGACATAACTGCTTGCATATTATTTTTTTTTAATATTTCATCTATTCTCTGTTTAAAGTTGAGCGCACTGAATATTCATACAGTATGCACACTACTGTTTAAAAGGCTCACCAAGGCTGCATTCATTTGATCAAAAGTACAGTAATATCATAAAATATTACAATGACTATTGTCTATTTCAATACATTTTTATTATATATTTTAATGAATATTAAATTTACTCCTGTGATGGCAAAGCCAAATTTTCAGTAGCAATTACTTAAGTCGTCAGTGTCACATGATCCTTCAGAAAGCATTTTAATATTCTGATTTAGATAATATGCATACTTCTATGTATTTTAATTTAGGATTAGTATGGCCATTTAATGAAATTGTATATTTAATATCTCATCCAGATAATGTTACAATTAAAAAAGTGTGGGGGTGGGGGAACATAAAAGTAACCCACAGACTAAATCTGAACACAGACAGAAACATACAAGCCTGCAGGGAAAATAGTGAAAGTCTAAATGGATCAAATTCCGATTAGAGGACAAAAGACAGTCCAGGTCCAGAATGCAAAAATGCAGTTGTTTCATAATTTATGAAAAAAATAACACTTTGGCCATGACTCAAAACCTAATGGACCGTCTACCTACACAGACATTATTTGGGGGTATCATAAACTTGTGTTTTGCACATTTATGGCATTTCTTTGGCACGCCTATGACGCCCAAAAATGCTGGTATGTTGGGAGCTCACTGGATTTTGAGAAAATGCCTGTCAGTCAGTCTATAAGAAGGCAGTTCCCCACCCTGTGTTTATTACCCAATGCGTACTTAAGTCAAACTTCAACCAGCTACAAAAAGCAAGCAAGTGTCCATTTTAAGTTACAATGCACAAGTACACTTAGATCTCTGAACACAGACAGAAACATACAAGCCTGCAGGGAAAATAGTGAAAGTCTAAATGGATCAAATTCCGATTAGAGGACAAAAGACAGTCCAGGTCCAGAATGCAAAAATGCAGTTGTTTCATAATTTATGAAAGAAATAACACTTTGGCCATGACTCAAAACCTAATGGACCGTCTACCTACACAGACATTATTTGGGGGTATCATAAACTTGTGTTTTGCACATTTATGGCATTTCTTTGGCACGCCTATGACGCCCAAAAATGCTGGTATGTTGGGAGCTCACTGGATTTTGAGAAAATGCCTGTCAGTATAAGAAGGCAGTTCCCCACCCTGTGTTTATTACCCAATGCGTACTTAAGTCAAACTTCAACCAGCTACAAAAAGCAAGCAAGTGTCCATTTTAAGTTACAATGCACAAGTACACTTAGATCGAACAGACACACACACACACACGCACACTGGGCTTGTCTGGTCAAGTCTGGCTTCGACAATCTACTCATTCTCTAGTTTCACCACAGTTAACATTTAAAAGAAACTCTTCATAACGCGTTTAATACTTCGCTGCATTTTAATCTCGATGTAAACCTATATATCACGCACTTTTCTGTATTACATTTATGAGTTTGAAAAGTAGCGAAATTCGAAAACGCAAACCTTTTGTCTGAATACAGTGTTTGCAAACTGTAAACTTGTAACGTTTGTCCAATGCACCCACTGACATTCCTCCGTGACACGAAGCATCGGATTAAATGCGATCTCACACAATCCAACAACACTCCTCGATTAAATTAACGTGATATAACCTACCTCATTCTCCATATGCCCCACAGGCAACTTCTGCCAGGGGTCTGCAAACTGCGCCAGCGGCATCTCGAAGTCCCGATCTGTAACTTGCGATCACCGCGTGAAGTGATTTGACGCTGTCAGTCACTGTAAAGTTGCACTAAAAGAGTCCCGCAAAGAGGATGGTCCCTAACTGAGGCGCAAACAAAAGGAGAATTCGGTTCAGCTGCCTTCTGGGTAGGTTTTACTTCTAAAGTGTCCGGCTCCTCTTCAAAAAAAATATTCTAAAGATGTTTTTAAGAGCAGAGTAATACACTTCCGTTTTCGCTCAACATGGCGGCGTCGCTGCGTTCGTTCACCTGTCTGTCAGAACGAGGCTGGAGGAAACGTCATCATGCGTCATAGCGCGAGGGACGCTGTGGACATGGTGCTCAGGTAGTTTAATGGGAGATGTTAGATCTATTCAATCAGGGCCTTTATCATTTCGACTGCTTTTTGAACGACGCATGTGAATCACATTGATTGGAGCATCATTTCTGATTATCATTCATGTAGAGCATTCTGTCTTTAAATCAGTTTAAATCTCTTTTCCCCGAGTAGCATCCATTTATTATGTCCTTCATAAGAAAAGCACACATGTGACACTTAATAAATGAAGTGCACAATCAAACCACTGCAGATGGAGGGGAGTCACAACACCACAGCCGATAAACACCCATCCAGCAGTAGCAGAGGGCTTAGAATAAAGCTGATTTGAGGATTGTGCTTTATTCTCACTCTCTGTTTTTGATGAGACCCAGTTTATGTGTGACCCATTTCTCCAAACCACTTCGATTTATGCTTTGTTTAGTGTGGCGATCATGCACCGGGTAAAAAGGCAAAAGCAGCATATTTCTACAAATAAAGAGTTCATTTCTTGTTCACTTGCCACATTAAAGGGAAATGTTTTGTCATGGTCCCTTGAGTATTAATAGCTGGGAGAGCTCACCAATATATGCCGTCTTTAACCTTGTAAATCCTAACATAGAAAACAAAAATAGTACAAAAAAAAAAAAATTGGAACAGTTTAATGCAAATTTAGACAAGACATTTTATTTTTATGTTTGCATGTATGTTTTGTGTCCTATTTGATACACACATAGAACATATAGTGTGACACAGCTCTCACTCGAGGAAGAAATAACACCGCAATTTTACTTAAAGGCCCAAAATGAAGGAAAATATGTAATTTGCAGATAATTATACTTATATGATCAAATATATATTGTGTGTGTGTGATACTTTTTAACTTGATGTATGTTAGAATATAAAAACATAAATGTATGGATAATCAAGTAAAAACAAGCTGGTTTACTTGAATGAGAAAAAAAAAAAGATTTCACAGAAAAAATACACATTTAACACAATCTGAAGGGTGACGTTTTTAGAATTATACTAAAAGGCCTTTTACTTGCTAAAAAGTAAAAAAAACTATCAACCAGATGCGAGAAGGCATGTAGTAGATTATGTAAAACAGGTTTTTCACCATGTTTTAACCATGCTCCGAAATTCATGCATCAAATGTTCTTTATATAGGGTTAAGGACTGTATCAGTTTTCATTTAACTATATCTTTAACAAATAGTGGAAGAACATAAATGCATCTACTCACAAAGATTGTATTTGAAATATTTATTTGTAGTTGTATGACACATACAAGTCCACATTGTATGACACATACATTGCCTGATCATGTTGACTCATCCTAGTCAATGCGGCATAAAGTTTTAACCTTGTGATTCTGATGCCCCCTTTAACATCTCAACCGCATCCTAACATCTATTGCAACACCTTTTTACTTTCCTGATTCTCAGAGATTTTAAACAAACATTCTTTTGAAACAACCGTTAATACACTGGAATTGCCAAATGTGAATATCCCCAGTAACATTGTTTGTAACAAATGCAATTTCTCATAATAAATACATGGAAAAACAAAAGTCCTGTTTTAAATAAAAATTGAAGAGAGTGAGAGGGTAAAAATCTATTAATCTTTTCCCATTCTAAAGCCACATTTTCAGCTGTTTATTTTAAATCTTGTTTCATTGTTGCGTTTTATTAAACACTCAAACACTCCGAGTGTTGGAAGAGTGTTAAAATACAACCGAATTGAAATATTCCAAAAACTTTTGTAATATGGCCACACAGATTTATAATTTAGAAATGTCAAAATTTTTCCCTTTAAATATTTTGTCAAATTAGGACTGCATTTCAGACACCTTAGCCAAAACACACTCCTGCTGATATATAAAGTGAGAGAAGTGTGTGTGTGTGTGTGTGTGTTGACACAGAGCAACAATGGTAGGTATTTGTGATGTATGGACATGAGCTAAATATTCTGCCATGGCATGGACACTGGGTAATAAGCAATAGGGGCATTGGAGACATTTGAAAAGTCCCGATAATTCCAAGTTAAATACCGCTATGTTGTTCATTGATGAAGACAACAAGAAAACAAGTTGTTTCATTGTTGCGTTTTATTAAACACTCAAACACTCCGAGTGTTGGAAGAGTGTTAAAATACAACCGAATTGAAATATTCCAAAAACTTTTGTAATATGGCCACACAGATTTATAATTTAGAAATGTCAAAATTTTTCCCTTTAAATATTTTGTCAAATTAGGACTGCATTTCAGACACCTTAGCCAAAACACACTCCTGCTGATATATAAAGTGAGAGAAGTGTGTGTGTGTGTGTGTGTGTGTGTGTGTGTGTTGACACAGAGCAACAATGGTAGGTATTTGTGATGTATGGACATGAGCTAAATATTCTGCCATGGCATGGACACTGGGTAATAAGCAATAGGGGCATTGGAGACATTTGAAAAGTCCCGATAATTCCAAGTTAAAAACCGCTATGTTGTTGATTGATGAAGACAACAAGAAAACAAGGCAATGATAACATGTGAAATGAGGCAACTTATCTCAATGTGGCTGAGAGATTTGGCTGAGTTTCCCAATAACTGTCTATGTAACCTTTAGCCACATCAGAGGTGATCATATTTTGCTGTGCGCTTCAACAGGAGAGGTAGGAAGAGGAGGGGACTTGGGATGATAAGGAAGGCGATTTAGCTGATGGACTTGAGCTTGGTCCAGGGGTTGGTGCCACGCACTTCCATAGGAGGGTCATTGTAGAAGATGTGGTTGCAAAGATCATCCAGTGGAGGCTCAGGGTCTGTAGTGGCAAACTGAGCGGCATCTTCAATCTCCTTCCTTACCTCCACATCAATCTCCTGCAAAAGGTGTCAGTGTTTAGTGAAAGTGCAGAAATGTCCATCTTTCAGCATGAAGAATTACTTGGCCACACGTCCTTTCCTTTCCTATAATTGAGTAATCCCCTATCTTAATCACCAATGTGACTGACACACACAAGAACAACAGGCAATCTCAGTGATTGTGTCCTACTTCAGTCTGTCTCTCATAAGCTTCTGCAGGCTCACCTTAAGCTCCTCCACGCTGGCCATGTTGTTGCTCAGCATGCGATCCTTCAGCATCGAGATGGGGTCACTCTTACTGCGCACCTCCTGGATCTCATCACGTGTGCGATAACTATGGGAACAGTGGATAAGGAGAGCAAAGGTTGTCACATTGGGGAGGAACACTAACAGAAGAACAAACAGGAGTCTCTAGGCGCGTTTCCATTACCCTTCAAATTGCACAAATTGAAATTGAAAATTGAAAATACGACTAATGGAAACGCGTCAAAAAAGTTTTTACCCTCGCATGAGGTGGTTTTTCAGGCAATGCGCAAAAGGATTCATTCGCAAAACTGCAATGGAAACGGCTTTTTCGCATTTACAGGTCACATGGCGTATGTAAAAAGTCATATGATCATTCTTCAATGTACTATAACCTCCAAGAAACACTTCATAAGTGGCCGCGCTCCAGTATAAGGGGCTTTCCCTACTATTAATACTTAAGACAATTTACATTGCACACGTCTGCGGTGCAGTGTGGCTCTGATACGGTCACTGAAACTAATTACGGCCACTCAATGGCTTGTGTTTATGTTTTTATACAGTCTATGGTTTATTTCAGCCGCGCCACGCATGTTTCTGAAGCGGCTCTCTTTGCTGCTTCTGAAAAGATTCACACATAAGCCTCCTTTGAATAAATATAGCCAAAATCTGTCAAAATCCCACCAAAATCCATTGCCATGACTTATCGCGAGAGGCAAAAGGTTACATTTTAGCTGCATAACATTGGTTAATGGAAACGCCGTCATTTCGCAATACTTTTTTATCGACATTCAGAAAATAGTTTTGCGCAAATCTGTAATGGAAACGCGCCTTCTGTTAGTGCAGAGTTTCAGTCAACATAGGCTATGGCTTTTTAACTAGGTTTAAAGGGAAAGAGCACTTTTAGATAAACAAGGCAATAATAGATGGCACTCGTGGAAGTAGGAAAGCAAAGTTCTTTATGAACCGCAGGATTGCTAGTAATAAAGAATTAAATGCAAAAGAAAAGGCAGTAGAGCTGACTGTTTCTGTCAATGGTAAGTTTTAATTTAGAATGTTTGTGATAATGTAAGAAAAGTAGTTTAAATGTTTTGCCACTTGCTTGAGCAACTTAATATATCAATCTAGAAGTAAATGCAAAATTAAAAGCATGTGTTTCTTATATTTATTGTGTTTAAACACATCTATGAAAAATTGAATTAGCTACTGCACTGTGTAAAAAAAGAATCACAATGCTGAAAAAGCATTTTAAGTAACAATGTTTGGGGTAAGTACGGTTTTTTTTTTGGAATTGATACTTTTATTCAGCAAGGACAGAAAAATGTATCAAAATTTACAGTAACGACATTTATAATGTATCAAAATATTTCTATTCCAAATTTTTAATTTTCTTAAGCATCTTCTCCACAAATTATTTAACAATACTCTTTTAAATATTGAATAAGAAATGTTAAGAAATAAGAAATGTTTGTTGATTACCAAATCAGTAATGGATGATGAAAATTTAGCTTTGCCACCACAGATATATATTACATTTGAAAATTTATTACAATATTAAAATTGTTTTAAATTGTAAATTGTTATTAAAATTGTAATAATATTTCACAATATTACAATGTAGACTTGGTGAGCTTAAAGGAACACTCCACTATTTTTGAAAATAGGCATTTTCCAACTCCCCTAGAGTTAAACAGCTGAGTTTTACCGTTTTCGAATCCATTCAGCCGATCTCTGGGTCTGGCGGTAGCACTTTTAGCTTAGCTTAGCATAGATCATTGAATCTGATTAGACCGTTAGCATCTCACTCAAAAATGACCAAAGAGTTCCATCCAAAGTCCACACACACAGCAGTGGGCAGCCATTTTTTTTATGCTGCAGGTGCCCTGGGAGCAGTTGGGGGTTCAGTGCCTTGCTCAAGGGCACCTCAGTCGTGGTATTGAAGGTGGGAGAGAGTGCTGTACATCCCCCCCACCTACAATCCCTGCCGGTACGAGACTCGAACCCACAGCCTTTGGGTTTTGAGTCCGACGCTCTAACCATTAGGCCACGACTTCCCCAATATAATGCAGCACTTGAAAATATGCTTATTGGAAGTTACCTAGCTTATTTTCAGGCGCTGCATAATATCATGTGTAACTACAGAAGAGTCAAGTTTTAAATAGGAAAAATACAGAAACTCTTTGGTCATTTTTGAGCGAGATGCTAACGGTCTAATCAGATTCAATTATCTATGCTAAGCTAAGCTAAAAGTGCTACCGCCAGACCCGGAGATCGGCTGAATGGATTCGAAAACTGTAAAACTCAACTGTTTAACTCTAGGGGAGTTGGAAAATGAAAGTGTTCCTTTAAGAGACTTCTTTCAAAAACATGAAAGAAAAATCTTACTGACCCCAAAAATTTCAATGATAGACTGTGTTACCCAGTTTATATGGTAAAGTATTTTATATATATATATATAAAACACATGCATATTGGTTACTAAAATGTTATGACGCATGTGTCATTCCCTGTATAATGATATCCACTCTCCAGTCTACAGGTGCATCTCAATAAATTAGAATGTCGTGGAAAAGTTCATTTATTTCAGTAATTCAACTCAAATTGTGAAACTCGTGTATTAAATAAATTCAATGCACACAGACTGAAGTAGTTTAAGTCTTTGGTTCTTTTAATTGTGCTGATTCTACACAGTAGAATTGGTGGGTTTTTGTTAAATGTGAGCCAAAATCATCACAATTAAAAGAACCAAAGACTTAAACTACTTCAGTCTGTGTGCATTGAATTTATTTAATACACGAGTTTCACAATTTGAGTTGAATTACTGAAATAAATGAACTTTTCCACGACATTCAACTTATAACCCAAGAAGGACTGCTGGTTACTTAAAGCAACAGTGAGCTTTGTTTGAGATTATATAAAATACTACCTGATTCCTGGGTCACTCATACTGTGTCCATGGTAACGATAGGTCTGCAGCTCCATCAAAATGGGACCCTATGAATATAAATTTCAGATGTCTTATTATTGCTAGATAACTGTTTATATTCCATGAGTGTATATTTAAACAGAAAACATTTTATAAGTGTAACAATTAGGGGTGCTCCAATATCAGGATTTTTGAGGCCGATCACCGATTGCCGATCACAAAAAGCAGTATCTGTCGATACCGATCACCGATATCGATCTTTTTAAAGCCATTTATTCAGGGTGGAGGGGAGCATTTTTTTGAGATTTTTCAAAAATATATATTTATCTCACCTAAATGTTCGATCATGAAGTGCATTTTTGTTTTTACAGTCATGCAATTGTTGCACAATAGCTTACACACAGCACAACACAGTTGCTCAAGCAAGTGGCAAAACATTTAAACTACTTTTCTTATGTTATCATAAACATTCTAAATTAAAACTTACCATTGACAGAAACAGTCATCTCTACTGCCTTTTCTTTTGCACTGATTACAAGCAATCCTGCAGTACAGTTGCAACTTTGTTTTTCTACCTCCACGAGTGCCATCTATTATTGCCTTGTTTATCTAAAAGTGCTCTTTTCCTTTAAACCTAGCCAACAAGCCATATGTGTTGACTGTGAAACATAGCAAACTTTAATTATATGCATTTATGGTGTAATTTCTACATTTTCGTTTCCATATTTACAGCAAACAATGCGCTGTCACTTTAATTTAGCTCATGCAGCGCAAACGATCTCTGCACTGCTGCAGACGCACCGCTCCTGGAACGCATTGTCGGACCGCAACCGTGTGCAGTGAACGCTTTAAAATTCGTTAAACATGAGCGTGGAAAAAAATATGTACCGCATACGCACTGCAAACGGAGAATGTGTGAACCTGGCGTTATATGTGTGCGCTTTGAGTGTGCATGAATGCTCAGTCTCCAGGAGAGCGCGCAAGTGCTAAATGGTTTAAACACTGGCAAGAATTAAAAAGAAATGCAATTCATAAACTTTAGTGACGATGTAACACTGCCTCGATTGTGCAAGTGATACTTCCTGTGTCAACTGTGCAGCTTGCAGCTCGCTTATAGTGCAGACGTGATGTGATTTGAAGCCATTTGTGCATTTTGAGAGGGAAAGAGAGAGAGAGCGCACACGGTCATTCACTCGCACTGTTTGTGAAATTACGTCTTACAGAAAGTTTTCAAATTACTTTAAGAGTTATTTAATGAAGAAATATGAATTGTACCTCACCTTCAGCATTATAATTATTTCACCCGCGCTGGACAGAGACTGAAGACGGTGCTGCTGCATGTCGTGCCAAACCTCTCACAGCAGGCGCATCATCAGCTTGAGATTGTTTTTTTGAGATCAGCTTTTTTAGAGACCACCGATCAAACATCCCAAAGCGATTATCGGCCGATAGTGATCGGTAGCGATCAATCGGAGCATCCCTAGTAACAATTATCCCTACATCCCTACAATTTCACATCACTCTAACCAGAGCTCACCTTTCCTGATCTGCAGTGTTCAGCAGCTAATTTGGTGGCCTCCCTTACACAAAGGACGTCCATGCCATCCACCTACAAATCCAGAGAACAGGTGGGGAGATATCCTGACATGAAGAGTAAATTCAGACACAAGTAAAAGCATCCTGCATCTTACTCTCAATCCAGGGATGAAATCGCCTCTCTTGTAGTAATCAGTACTAGCCGCCGCTCTCTCCACAGAAGTACCCATGCCATATTTGTTATTCTCGCAAATGAAGATGCAGGGCAGCTTCCACAGAGATGCCATATTATATGTTTCAAAGATCTGACCCTGCAGAAACAGTGCAAAAGTGTGCATGAAACCTCCATCTACATACTCATTAGAATGCACAAGTTGTTCAAATTTAGTAGCAGAATTAGCAGCTAAATCACTCATTAGGACTAGCATGATTGTTTGGAGCTGCGTGAAAGTGACTTACCTGATTTGCAGCACCATCACCATAGAGACAGACACACAGCTCGTTCTTGCCCAGGTATTTGCAGGCCAAAGCTACACCTGCCCCAAGAGGCACCTGGGATACACATGAATAGTTATTCTTAATACTTATTACAGTACTGATATCTGCGCTCTATTCATAAGGTACTCTAATCAATTCATTTAAATTACCTGAGCTCCCACAATTCCATTTCCTCCATAAAAATGTTTAGTGTACATGTGCATAGACCCACCCTTTCCTTTAGCAATGCCTCCTCTACGACCTGATGGAAGAAATAGAGACGCATAGAAGAGGGATAGAATAAACAAATAGATAAACAAACAAATCAATAAATAATAGAGAAAAATAAGAGATCAGAACTTTAAACTGTAGGTTTTGATGTTCTCACCAGTGAGCTCTGCCATGATCTCACGAACGGTGCCCCCTCTAGTGAGAGTATACCCATGTGCACGATAGGCTGTGATTAGATGATCTGATAGATTGATACCTGCCTCAATACCAACCGCACACGCTTCCTGTTAGAGAACACAATGCACCTGTAAGTGTTTCTGTCTTCACCATGTTGTCAACATTTTAACCAATTACAAATGACTTTCGCAACCATGTGAATCAAAACATAGAATAATATTAAATTTGCTTATTTTACACTGGCAAAAGTGAGTGTTTAGAACTTAAAGAGTCTCTGATAATCTTGTGCTTGTAAAGATTATATCTGTGTGTCACCTGTCCATCATAAAGGTGACAGAAGCCCCTGATGATCTTCTGCTTGTAGAGCTGATCGGCTTTGAGCTCCATACGTCTTATGGTCTGCATCGTGCGGTAGTACTGAAGCCCTTCCTCTCTTGTAAGCACAGCCTGCAGTGGAGGGCCCTCCTCCAGCTTGTGTACATCACATTTCTGCCAAAAGAAAAAAAATGTTTATGCTTTCAAATGCATTAAGATGTTTTAATGTTTTACCGCCTTGCTGCTCACTAAGGCTGCATTTACTTGATCAGGAATACAGTAAAACACTAATACTGTCCAGTATTATTACAATTAATTTTAAATAACCGTTTTTTATTTTATTATATTTTAAACGGGTCATATGATGCGATTCCAAGTTTCTCTTTGGAGTGTTACAAGCTCTTGGTGCATAAAGAAGATCTGTAAAGTTGCAAAGACTAAAGTCTCAAATCCAAAGAGATATTCTTTATAAAAGTTAAGAGTCAACCACGCCTACCTAAAACGGCTCGTTCTAACACGCCCCCACATGTCTACCTCACTATGTGGAAATTAGTGCCGCACCAAATACACAAAATAATGATCTTTAAAATAGCATCATATGACCCCTTTAAAATGTCATTTATTTCTATAATGGAAAAGCTGAATTTTCAGCAGCCATTACTCTGTCACATGATCCTTCAGAAATGATTCTAATATACTGATTTGGTGCTCAAAAACACTTCAAAGTATCAATGTTGAAAGCAGATGTGCTGCTTAATATTTTTATGTAAACTGTGGTGAATTAAAAAAAATATATATATATATTAATGTCTTAAAAAAAAAATGTACCAATGCAAAACTTATGAACGGTAGTGTATATGCACAAAAATAAATATTACATAATAAATTAAGCAACTGCTGATCTGATAAACTCACCTTAATATCAAAGGAGGCCTGAGGGGTAAAGTCTGCATAGGTCCTGGCAGATACCACCACTCTTGCGCCCTATGAAACATTAAAAAAAATTTGAAAATACATAAACAAAATAAAAAATAAAACTCAGCTGAGAAAATGAGTGAAGGTGGTGTTTAAATTTTTTTTTTAAAAAGCAGTCACATGGAAACACACACACATCTGACAGGAACTGAAATGTTAACAACCCCGGTCAAAGCACTCTGTCTGAAGCAGGAAGTAAGCCCAAGGAAAACTAAATATATCTGTAATAATCCGACCTACATGACCACTGTCATTTTCCTTGACAACTACATCAACAAACCTGCAATCTAATACCAATAAATCAACACAGGCCTACATGTGGAAAACTGACACAGTGCATGGTATCATCTATTCTACACTGACTTTGCACATCTCTTTGATTATAGGTTTGGATGTAGAAAACTGAAACATCACAAGGAATCCTTCCATAATTAGATGCAGGACCAACATGCTGAGCAGATCTGTTGCTTCTGATATCTAACAGTGACAAAAAAACAAATAAAGTTTGTAGAAGAACAATCTGTTTAGTGATTGAAGTGTCATCGGCCGAAGCATTGTGAGTTGGAGTATGCAAGTGCTCTGTGTAAAATGGAAGGGACATGCAATACACCATAAGGAGGGTTAAAATGATGTTAAGCTGTGTGTGTGTGTATATATATATATATATATATATATGAAAGAGACAGTATGTAATTTTAATATAGGGGCTGCCAGTACTCACAGCAAGCTGTGGCTCTGGAAAGGGAGTCTCTCCAGCCAGGCTGTGGGTGATCTCTGGGAAGGAATTATCAAGGCCCAGGAGGCTCTCGGCTGGTGGGGGACAGTGGGGGTCTGTGCTGGTTACGCTGGAACTGCTGTTAGCTACTGCAGGGGATAACTGTGCTGGACTGGCGGCTGGGTTAGGCAACTTAACTGTAATTAGGACAGGTGATGGCGAAACATCTATAACGGGACTGATGATCTTTTCAAATATAGGTTTTTCTTTTTCTGATACTCTTTCTGTAAGTGGAGGAACCACGTTTATTTCTTCTGAGATGGATGAACCACTGGTCATCAGCGGTTCCACGTAACTTTCTTTCTGAGCTATCGCCTCAGAGGAAACGACATCTGTCAGAGGTCTGTTGTGTGGCCCCAAGTGTCCTAAAGCCTGGCCACTGTTAGTGTGTCCTAAATCTTTGTATTCTGCAGGAGGTATCTGTGTTAGAGGAGGGGAAGCTAAAGGGCTGTGGGGTTGTGCATCTTTTAAGCGTGAAAGGGGGTCGGGATCATGATCATGTGGAGCGGTCAAATTAGCATATTCGCTCTGGACTGCCAGGAGCTGCAGAACGGCCCGGAGAGTGGAGGACTGTAAAAAGAAGGGCACAGGTCACTCCAGAGGCTCAGACTCAGAAGGCCATAAGAAGGGAACATTTAAAGGAACAAGAAGAGACTTTTAGCCATTTAGAGACCACAAAGAAGGCATTTTACTGCACAAACCAATCTAATCTATGCTAACCAACACTAGGCAACTCACAGGCAATAAACAGCTGTTGATGGCTACCAGTCAGATAACATTCAAATGGTCAAAATGGCAGATGTTGACAGACACTGATTTCTAGATAGCAGGGTGCCCAATAATCAATATAATGCCAATATCCACATATGCAATTTTCATTATGAAATTGAGATGTACAGTGATATGAACTGAACACATTTTGTGCAATATTTACTCAGAATTAACTAAAAAAAAAAGTATGTATTGGCAAAACAGTTGACAACTTACTGACACTGACATTTATGTTCATCACATAGACATATAATATTATTGGCCAAATCATATCACAACTTCAAATACCAGAAAGTCACAATGTGTCTCAAACAGGTTTCAATTGATGTCTCTCTTCCTATAAAAAAGATTCTAAATCCACCAGAGGAAAAAAGGGTACTTTCCCTGACAAAACGGGGAGTGTTTTTAACATACACACGTCTGTGTGTGTGTGTGTGTGTGTGTGTGTGTGATTTAAAGGTATGATGTGAGACATAGTAAATGGCTCGGGTTAATAGAGCAGAATTATTCCCCTCAAACCCATAACACAGCAAACTAAAACAGCCACGATTATATGAGCAGCAAGTAAAAAGCATGTAGCAGAAGCGTTTAATATGTCAAAACCAGTGAATGGAAACTCAGTGAGGAAGAAAAGATGATCTAAAAATAATAAGTGAGGAATAAAGTCTTCGTAATGAAATAATTTCAAGCAAACATAATAATCATGTACATAACAAAAACTGAAGAAAAGAGCAGATGGCCCAGACGTCATGTCAATAAGCCCATTTCTAAAACTACCATCCTTACCTCTGATACCAGTTCGGCTCCCTTAAAGGAAGCCCATGGAACAGTAAAAATGAGCAAATGTGATATTGAGAGCGAGAGAGAGAGAAAGACATAAGAATTAGTAAAGAGAAAGCGATTGAGAGAGAAAGAAATAAGTGAATCATTATCACGAAAACAAAGATGCTTGACTTGTTCTGCAAAATTCCATTCATTTTATTGTGCCAACCGACCAACGACATTCATTTCATTGTGTCAACAAAGCTTTTATTATTAGACTTAGGGTCACAGTTAGAGGAATAAAATTGATACCGTGATTACAGATGAACTGCAACTTTTAATGTCACCTAGAGTAAGAAATTAATCAGGGCTCAGGGGAAAAAAAGACATCAGTATACCCGAGTTTTGAATTCCTTTGTTGTTTTATTATATGTTCAGGCCAGTGTAGTTATGGGATTAATAAGGAGTTTATCATATCTAAGAACAAATGTGTAGTTCACATGGAAGTATTTTTCGTGAGAAAAAAAACAACAAAGTAGGACAGATAAGAAACAGCATTTACATGTCAAACTAGCAATAAAGAATAGAGGTATATAATCTAAAAAAATGACTGGCCAATTGTTTAAAATAAAAAATTAAAATTTGATTAAAGTATTTGAAGTCACTAAGTGAGTATGTTATAAGGTTTTGGAGAAACATGCCCTCATAAAGGTATAAATATGCCCCTTAAAATATTTAACAGTAAAAATATTGCCTCTTAATAACAACATTAATAATAATAATATACATAAATATCTTATTAATTCTTATATGTTATATATAATAATTTTGGACACGCTTATAATGTTGTAAACTCCTACTTGACAAGAACTGAGTGACATTAAACTATTAGAAACAGACTAAAACGTTGCTGTCCACTTAATGTTGCATAAAACAGAGTATCAACCATCTGGACATTTGCCACTGGACAGTAAATATGATGAAAGACAGACTGCTTTTATTTCTGACAGAGAATTACAGAAACAGACTACCATTTCAACCAAACGTTTCCTGACAAGTACATTGTTTCTCATTTGTTACAGTGTCTTATTATAGGTTAACGTTAGTTCAATGACAGTTTGTTGACTAACCAGTTTTAGACGTTACCCTCCCAGTGCATTTTAGCTAGCTAGCCAAGCTAAATCACTTTGTACAAACAGTAAAATATCTGATTATCCTTACATCAATAATAAAAAGAAATGCTACATTGGTTGACGTGAAATAACCAGCACAAACGTGAGACTTTAACAGCAATGTGTCTTTAGCGGGGTGTCAGCCGGGCCTTGCGTAACGTTCCCAGGGCAAGGTCAACATGCATTACTGCGCTTCATTAGCCTTCAAAACATTCGTACATTTGCTTTACTAAGCAAAGCTTTACGAATCAAGGGATAAAATACTTACGTTCCTGCTGGCGCTGCCCCTCAGAACGTTAGAAATGATGGTTAGCATCTTTCGCATAATATTACCCCCACAGCTCACCAGAAACAGATCTCCTTCAGTCCTTGTCTCACACAAACCAGCCAGCGAACGAGGTTTACGCCCGCTGCAGATTCGCTGCACATTCCATTGGAAATACCGCCACCTGCTGGCCAGAGCCCGCACTACAACCCCGTTTCTCAGGCCGGTTCCTGCATCACTAGCATCTCAAATGTTGTATTCTCCTTTCAGAGTGACATATATATAAATATGGTACTTCATGCATCAAAAACTATGTTTGTTCATTTTGTTTTGTTTTTTTAACCAAAGCACCATTGCAAGTGCACTGATCCACAAACAAGGCCCACTTACTTGTGCGCTAACACAAAGAACTACATTTCAAAACAATTGTAAATGTTTAGCATTTATTTTAGAATTGTGAGGTGTATAGCACTGTATTGTTTACTTAATGCATGAAATTGTATACGAATATGGCATCTAACCTGATAAAGGTCTATTTCTGTCTTTTTCCTTTTTGCAGGATACTGTATTTTAAAGATAATTTTATAAAATGCAAATACGCTTTACAGATCTTTGTTAGTAAGAATTTAAACACTGTTGATTCATGTTCAATTAACCATAAACAATTATTGCACATGCATCGGGCGGGACAGTCAGACACTAACAGTTTATAGGCAACAGGCAATTAAGGTGACACTTAAAATACCTTATGACATAAAAACACAAAAAAAGATGCCCAAGATGTTCCACCTTTGTGAACATGGCATAGTCCTGCTGCAGGGAGGTATGAGATGTGGCCGGAGCAATAAACGGCACATAAGACATTGCTGCAGGGAGACATGAAGGACATCTAATCATCCTTGTAGTGACAAACCACATGTAATCATGTGTCCCCTTCAGATCCCTCCCAGAAATATCAGGAGCCTTGGTGATAGAGTGGAGTGAAGTGACATATGGTGACATAGTGCTCTGCATTTATCCCATCCAAAGTGCACACACACACCGTGAACATTTCTGCTGCAGCGCCCAGGGAGCTGGGGGTTCAGTGCCTTGCTCAAGGGCACCTCAGTCGCTGTACATTCACTCCCCCCACCTACAATCCCTGCCGGTCCAAGACTCGAACCCACAACCTTTGGGTTACGAGTCCGACTCTCTAACAATTAGGCCACAACTTCCCCCCTAAAAAAGTAACATCTCACATCAAGAACTGGCAAATCTGTTGCAGTCCACACGGATGTGATACACTGCAGTACATTTTCATTGCAAATTTGCTGGAAATATTAATATAATACAATTTTAATAAGTAACATTTATATATATTTTTATATAATTAATTATATAAAATAAATTGATTTATTTAAATTAATTAACTATTTATATTATATATTTAAATGTATATTTTTGATCTCTCTCTCTCTCTCTCTCTCTATATATATATATATATAAGAGTTGTCACTGAGACTTGTGATGAATATGACTGAAATATTTGCAATACAACTGTAATATTTATATTATTACATTGATGAACCACGATTTGACTTGCAGGTTGATGGAAGACGGAGGAACATTCTCAATTTGTAGGATATTTGGTTGGACAAAAATGGATCTGTTTTCCCTGAAGACATAAATAAGTGCATCTGGAAAAAGTGAAGATATGATATCAATGATTGTCAATAATTATGAGCAGATACACCTTTCCAACATGTAGTCTAACATACATTCCAACACATGAGGCATCTTTATTATTAATCAAAAATCAATATAAACTAAAACAAATCAAATTTGATTCCGTCCTATTTTTATTTGAGTTATTTATCTGTTGCATAGCTCGCCCTATTGGCCTTTTATTATGTCAGATGAAAGCAAGTGCCATGTGTAATTAACAATATATTTGTGAATGTATCTGTGAGTTTGATCGTCTCTGAGTCTCCTCGTGTGGCTGCATCTCCAGAACCCCTGTCCTCGTTCTTCTCTTGACCCAGCTTCACTGAGGAGGACACGCTTGTGCACAATAGCACAGTAGGTGGCGATATGCGCAAAAATTGCAACTCGCCATAAAACCAAGAAGAAGAAGAAGAAGAAGAAGATAATTAAAGCAGCAATGATAGGAATAGATGGTAAAATGTATAATTGGTTATCTCAGTTTTTATTTGAACGAACATTTTTAGTACAAGTAGGAGCGTGCCAGTCATCAGTTTTTAAGGCAGAAAATGGTATTCCACAAGGGAGTGTAATAAGTCCAATTCTTTTTAACATTATGATTAATGATATTTTTGACAATTTAGGATATGGTGTGGGATGTGCGTTATATGCTGATGATGGTGCTATTTGGAAGAGAGGTCGAAATGTATCCCAAGTGATTTCAAGTATGCAAACAGCTATTAAAAAGGTGGAAAAATGGAGTATAGAATGGAGTTTTAAAATGAAATCAACAAATAAATCATGTTATATGGTGGTCAGTAGAAGAAGAAGAAGAAGAAGAAGAGGACGCGCTTGTTGTTTCTCGGAAGTGACGAAACCAAAGTACTGATGGCGGCCCACAGTTTGCTCCCGGATATGTACTGAAACGAATTTGATGGCGTCTGATTGGACTTTTTGCTTACTTGGCCGTTTGTCTGAAGTCTTGAGATCACCATCGAACCTGTCGAGCACAAGAGTCGTCAATCCGAGGAGGGATCATTTGTTGTAGGGCTGGCTAGATCCAGAGCTAGCTGCCTTGCCAATGAATTACAAGTCCAGTTAGCCTGTGTTCGCAGAGGTTTGTTTGTGTGCGTGGCTACACACTTTAAGACGTTTGACATTTTAACTGTTGTGTCACTGGCTGGTCCAAGTGTAGCAGAGTGTCTGGTTTCTGTAGCTTGGCTAGCCTCGCTTGCGTTACTTTAAAAGCAAAGAAGCGGTTAGCCGACCTGATTAGTTGTAGCCGTAGCTCTGAAGTCACTGGTCAACAGTGGATAGTGTGAGTCTCTTCTATGATTCACCGTTGTGCTGTCCGTCGACTGTCAGCATGTTGAAGACACGACAGTGTTTACTTGGGATTCGCACTTTTCTTGGAGTGACGTCTAGAATATGGAGTTTCATTTTATACATCCTCAGGAAGCATCTACGAACGGTGAGCAAGTCAACATATGTCATGTGAATACATGCTTTTTCTGTTCTGTGTATATACTGTATTCCGACATGTCATCTGTAAATAATGATTTTTCTTTATTTAAGGGCTCCCGTCTTCAAATAATCTTCAAAAGACAAACATCTCCTAGCATTGTTGATATGTTAGAAACTTTGTAACGAGTAATATTGTTTTCATGCACAAATTCCTAAGAGTAACCAGTCCTATTGTTTGTTTTAACACTTTAACCCTGCTCAGATTTTTGGAATTGATCATATATTTACTGAGCTGTCACTTATGCAAAATTGTATGGCCCTCAGTGCAAACAATCATGCACTATTCAGCTGGGTCATTGTAGGATCTGTAATAATAACATTAACTTGGTATATGATTTGTTATGTGCTGCTTTAATTGTTGATTTGTGTTTAAGTACTCCTATTCATTGTATCAAAAAAAGTTTGATGAAAGTTTGGCACAGTAGTAAGTTTCAGATTGTGCCTGCGTCTGCTGTATCACTGTAATCCTGGGGAAGTTTGTTTATGGTGCTGTATGTCCTAATTACTTTGGACTATGGACCCCTACTATATGTTGTTTAGCCTGCCGTGAAGGGAGTTACAGACCCAGAACTATTAAAAGCACAATACGCTCACTGAGAAAGGTATCAAATATTTCCATACCGAGTCTTGACAATATGGTTATTTTTTTCAGCTGGCCAAGATTTCTACAATGTTTCAATTTACCCCACAATAAAAGAATCTTATACATTTTTTATTCTTCATGTATATGTTAAAAAATAAGTTTTAATTTCTAATAATTGTTAAGAATAATACGGCTATCATGTAATTTCATAAACACACCGTTGCTGGAAAACAGTGGCATACCGTGATCTGTTTCTATTTTTCAAACCGTTCTAATTGATGCATCCAAGACTATAATGTTTGGGGCTTCTCTGCAAAAACAGCTCAAAATGAGCTTGGGTTGTTTCACGTAACTACCTGAGTGAAAACAAGTGGCATGTGTGGCCTAGTAAATTGTGATTTAGTGCTTTTACTACCTTTCAGTTTTTTTCACGAACATCAATTATGTTTTTTTTTATATATATATATATATATATATATATATAAGTTTT